TTTATAAGCAGAGGTTGGGTGGCCATCTTTCATGGATGCTTTAGCTAAAATTCCTGCATTGCAGGGGGTTGGACTAGATGCCCCTTGTGGTCCCTTCCAGTTCTATAATTCTATGATTCTATGATGGTGTTTCTCACTGAAGCAGCGAAGCGAGGCAGCGCAACTGATTAAAGACTTTGGCTAAAATCATCTGTCAGCATCAGCACAAACCTGGCCCCGCCCAGACTCGGACTTTGCATGGGACCACAAAGGTCTATGTGCACAAGCTCAAAAGGTTTTGTGGTTACCCTCTCCCTTCTGGGATAACTGCACCTTTGTACCTTTGCCCTTCTGCATGCTCTACAATCTAGGGATTTACCACATGCTTTCAGTTTGCAACCCTTCGTGCATTTGGGCAACTTCTGGACATCTTCCAAACTGCTTCCTGCACCCCCTCTGGTGGGTAAAGGGCTCCCAGCACTTTGCCTCTTTCCAGGCTTCTCACACAGACACGTTGCAGCATCCACACAGCCCTCAGACTCAGCAAAAGCAACAGTAACAGTCCCTTCGCTCCCCCTGTGGAGACTCCCAGCTCTCCCAGCTGTGTATCGGCTCTCAAGAAGGTGGCTAGCGCCATCTTGCCTCCCCCCTTCGGATGCAGCCACTTCTCGGCCCTTGCTTCCCACTCCAGCTCCACAAGCTTCTTGGAGTGCTAGCCAAGCGGCCTCTGGCCTTCTTGCACCCAGGACAACAGGCACCAGATGAGCGTCCACATTCTCAGCCAAAAAAGCAAGCACACGCTTCTCAACTTCACTTTGCTCTGCAGCCCTCTTAGCCTCTGATTTCCCAGCTGCCTTCGGTATTGGCTGGACAACACCCCACAGCCGCTCCCCAACTAACAGCAGCTCTGCTTGAAAGCTCCACTGCAGTCAAGTTTGGCTAGTCAGTTTCTGACATGGCAGCTTAAGCTCAAAGCCATGTTCCTGGGGCTGAGCCATTGCCTCCCTTCTGTTGGCTTCTCCAAAGGTACTCACTCAGCAGCCAAACTGGGCACTCCGGACGATGTGGCTCCTCAGCTCCCACTCCACCAGCCTCCTCCAATCTGCCTCAAACGTTAGGCAGGACTGCAGCTGGCCCACACACACACCAGCACGACTTGGCAACAGCTTCCAAAGCTTGGCTGACCTCCCATAACCTGTGGCTTGACGATGGAGTCCGGCACATTCTGCTGCGCCACACTGGACTCCTGTGCTTAGCTCACTGTCAGCGTCCTTCAGCAGAGTCTCCGCAGCGGTAGAAAACTGTTGCAATGTGTGTGTAATAAATCAGACTGTACGCAGGCTTGTTGCTTATCTCCAACAGTCTTTAATCGTGTAGCAAATCCTAAGTAATGGACTATTGTTCCCCCCAACATTAAATGTGGCCCCATAACTCCTATTTTTGTTCAACAGCCCAATGAATGTGAAGATTGTATTTGGGGTAGGTTGTGTGATACCTCTCATTGTTCTTGATCATAAAGTTCAGAGTTTCCCTGGCCTTCTGTGTGGCCCCTTCTACTTCCCTTCTGTGTGACCATTGCGTCATAGAATCATAGAATCATAGAGTTGGAAGAGACCACAAGGGCCATCAAGTCCAACCCCCTGCCAAGCAGGAAACACCATCAGAGCATCAATTCTGAACATAATGAATGGGTTTTGATTTTCACTGATCTTTCATGCAGTCCCTGCACCCTCATTCTGGTTCAAGAGCCCATTTAACAAAAAGGTTAGTCTTGGTGGGTTGTGCTGCATTTAAGTGACTCATCATCACTTGTCTGAAATAATGGGTTTGGGCTTCCTCTTAACCATACATGTGGGCCCTGAATTGCCTTTTTGATTTAAAGGCCCAGCAAAACTAAATATTTTTGGAGTGTCATGTAACTTTTCTATGAGCCCAGACATTTGCCTTGGTCCTAAACAAGAGGTTTCATTTCTGTCAAGTCATCTATGGGGCCCTGGAATCCTGAGGGGCCCCTATGATGAATATATTGCTTTGGGATGTGTTGTAACCTCTCCATGATCCAATTCCATCATCCATGATTCTGAGGGAAAGGATTTTTTCTCTGTACCCTTTCAGGACCCATATGGAAGTTTGAGACTCAAAACCATTTTGGGGAGTGTTGGGAGCTATCTGATGGTGGGGTAGATAGGTCACAATACACAATTCAGTGCAATCCACTCAACCATAATTCTCAGAAGGTGACTAGACAATTCCGCAGCCATTCAATGCAGGCCTCATCCTGCTTTAAAGGTCAGACGTGTGCCTAGAAATTGGGGGCAAATATAAGTACAGTGTTACCTCAGGTTAAGGACTTAATTTGTTCTTGAGGTCCGTTCTTAACCTCCCACTGCTGCCCCCACGCTGCAGCTGCGTGATTTCTGTTCTCATCCTGAAGCAAAGTTCTTAACCCGAGGTACTATTTATGGGTTAGCGGAGTCTGTAACCTGAAGCGTATGTAACTTGAAGCGTATGTAACCCGAGGTACCACTGTATAGATTATAGCCACTGGAAATGCCCTTTTATTTCTTCTGTCAATAATTTATTTTAGTATTTTAATAATGGTTGCCTTGACAGAGAAGTAGTATAGAAATGCAGGCAAATATTGTGCTGGAGAAGAGATATTGCTTCCTTGTTGTTTGTGTAGGAGCAGGATTTTAATCACAATTGTAATGTAACAAACACTATGGATAATATGGAAGGATACAAAATGTTATTATGGAATAATATGCAGTTGTAAATGTTGGGAATAGGACCCATGGGGGGGATGAGGGGAAATCTCAAGATTCAGAGAAATCTCTTTATATGCTTATGTAATGTGATATTTTTTACTTGTAAAATCAAATAATTATTTTTTAAAAAAGTTGTTTGTGTTGGTTTCCACATTCCCTTTCCAGAGCGCAGACTTGGAGTGTGACATTCCCCATGCCATGCTTCACTTTCAGACATGCTTTGCATTCAAAATTAATTCAGCACTCCTGAAGGGGGTTCCTTTAACCAGCCACACCCCTCTCTCTCCTCCTCCTCCTCCAAGCCTTTCATGAGCTGCTTCTCAGGGAGGAGAGCTGCTCAGCTGAGTGAGAATAAGGAAGTGAAGTTATGGGAGCATTGTCTTGTCTGCTCAGAAGACCTACTGAATTGCAATGAATTTTGGTTCCAGCTTCCCTGTGAGAGGGCAGCCCTCCCTCCAAGAAAATGTCAAGTGTGAGGCAGTTAGGCCTGTCCTGCCCCCAAGTGACTAGCAGTTCAAGTGAGGAGGGTCTGGCATATCAGAGTTGGGAGCTAGATCTGGGAGTTTTCACAAACATGTTTTTCTCCCAACTACGACCCCTGCACATGAATATCCATAAATTCTTGAGGATGTTGTAGAGTTGCTGTTTGTTTCCTTTGTAATTATTAAAATCACAGTGGTTTCCATACATCTTCTTCTACTTTGATACTTGGGCCATACCCACTGAAGGTTCAACATGGGTTTCTGTGGTCATTCGCTAAAAAAAATAAAAAATGGTTAGCCACCTCCTATTCAGCTGTGGTCTTTATTGGTGCAACATTTTACAGGGCAGAAGAGTAGAAGTATGTGCTTTCGAGAGTTTACAACCATGGAAGCAGAATCATAAGAGGATTTATTACAATCAGGTAGTACAGGAATTTCGTCATAACTTTCAGTTTGTTAAAGCAAACAAGTAAATTCACCATTCACCTTCTCTATTTTCCATGGTGTGTTACATGGAAGATTGATAAATGAATTTCCATATCTGTGGTGCTGCAACATGATATGCTAATTGACTGAACTATCCTGCAGATCTCAACATTCACCATGGCATAGATTGGGGGGAGGGAGTCCTCCTCTAAGAACTTGGGCTCTGATCCAAGTACCGACATGCTGAATTGAGCTCAGTAGCTACAAAATTATATAAAATACCGCAACAACTGGAAAGGTCCTTAAGAACCTTTAAATATCAGATAACCTAAAAAGATATATGGGAATGTGACTTTATCAACTGTTTGTGATGTATACTTTATGTTCTTGCCCAAAGTGTAAGGCTTAATGACTCCCAGCTAATAACGTGTGAAAATCTCTCTCTCTCTCTCTCTCTCTCTCTCTCTCTCTCTCTATATATATATATATATATATATATATGTTACGTGTTACAAAGTGAGAGGTAAATCTCTTGGTATTACCATACTTAAATATTTAATAGATTTGGAACAAATGTGGAACTGATAGCCCTTAAATGAATGGGTAAGTAAATTTTCACCTATAGGCACCAATCCCAATTTGTACCAGTTTATAGAGTTTTGTGAAGACATCTATCATCTGCACAAACATGGAAATAGTAAAATGAGGTTTAGAAATCATCAGAAGAATATCATCTGCATATGAAATCAATTTATATTTAACTGAATTGAGGACTACTCCATAGATCTCTCTATGTTGTCTAATAGCAGAAGCAAATATGAAAAAGCAAGGGTGAATTTGGATATGCTTGTCTAGTTCCTCTAAGTTGGGGTGCTCCAACTTCTTTGTTTCCTCCCAGAATCCAAGTGTAGGACAGACAGAGTTTTTGCAAACATGTTTTTCTCCAGCCTGCAGGACATTTCAGAGACCATGCTTGTTCCCTTTATAATTATCAAAATCATCAAAATCATAGAGGGGTTTTTCTTTCATCTTCTTCTCAACAAAGCTCCAGAGATTTGTCCAAAGATCACCTTTGAGTCCACTCAGGGAGATATCTGAATTGTCAACAACGTAAGGTAATTAAAATATATCATCAGAGCAGAGAGGAATTGGTGCATAAAGGCCTTCTGTATCACTGACAGTTTGGGTTCAGATTTAGGACAGGCGAGTTGCAATACAAGGTGCAAGGCTGACTTCTAACCCTTCTAGGTGTGAAGTCTTGGTTGCATTCCATCAACATTATCTAATTATTTTCTAGTTCAGAGGAGCAGTCACAGGAAAGGAAGGTGTTCCAAGCAGGCAAAGAATGGTACTGCTTCTCCTGCTCTTCCTGCCTCATGCAGACTGTGGAGCGAAGGCAAAATGCCCCTTGACTTTGGAGAGAGATTGGCTAGAGCCATTCAATTATTACAGGCCAGGAGACCACATCATTAGTGGAATCTTCTCTGCCACAGATGCTGTATTTAATCCACGGCACTTCAATGAGTCTCCCTCTACCAGCTTTATCATGTAAGTCCATTTGGTTATGGCTGCTTCATTCAATATTTATCTTTATTCATCATCCTTCTGGAACTGTGGTGTATCTGTGTACATTAGACCTTCCAGGCTGTGATGCTTTAGGCTATAAATTTTTAATTCTTTATTTTCTTTCTTTTTTAATGTTTGCACTTCTTTTTAAAAACAAATCAATAAAAATAATTATAAAAATAAAAGAATGGGGAGGGAGAGAGAGAGCAATAGATGTTCCGTGTCATTTTATGAGCCTTTAAAAACCTTTTGTCTCTTATTGTTATTTTAAAGTCTGTGCACGTCCAATTCCATCATGAAAAATTCACTCTATTTTAGTTTTGTTTTCCAAGGGATAATGGGTATTGGTTGAACAAGGCTTTCCCACCAGTCAGGCATCATTAAATGGGGATTGGCTGTCAAACTTCTGAATTTGGATCAGTGTTAGGAGGATTAAATTCTAGAAATTGAATCCAGGACTTTAGATCATCTTTAGAAGCTTGTCAAAAAAAAAAGAAGAAGCAAGAGTTGGAAGTGATATAGTCACTGAATGCTGGAGGATATGATATGTACATTTTTTCAGGAAAGCAGCAACAAGGTACTGGCTGCCCCTGTCCTTCTTCTTTGCCATTCAAGAGATCAACCAGGATCCCAGGCTCTTGCCCAACATCACTCTGGGCTACAATATCTATGAGAACTTTTTTCATGGAAGGGTGACGTATGAAGCTTTGGTAGACCTGGTCTCTTCTAAACAGGCGAATGTTCCAAACTACAACTGTGGAGGACAGAATACCTTGATTGCTGTTCTTGAAGGAACTGACTCTGACTCTGAGAACTCCATCCAGATTTCAAGCATGCTGAGCATCTATAAAATGCCACAGGTAGGAATGGAGATGGAGGGATTATCTCAGGTATGAAAATTTTGGGTAGTGTCAACTCAGAATGAGGAAGACATTGGAGGTCAAGGCATTGAAGAAAGGAGATAAGGAATGGTCAGATGAATTGCTCTTCTCTTTTTGACCTGTACTTCCTCCCTTTCGTTTGTATCAATTGCTGATTCCTGTGTGTATTTGTTTGCCTGTACATATAAAATGGGAAGGAAGGGAACTTCCCTCTTACTAGTGGCCATGCCACTAAAAATGGGATAAAGTCGAAAAGATTTCCCTGAGTGAAACTGTGATATTTTGTTTTTCAGTTGAAAACATTTATAACGCATTCGATAAATAAAAAACATTTTAGCATTGCACAACATAAAACTAACAAAATTGTTGAAAGATATGTACAGTATAATGCCAGTAAATTAGAAGGATAAAAGCATATTTTAAAAGATGAAAACAGGAACTGAGGGAATACATAAAAATGGGATCGAGTTTTATGTGCCAAGGAAAGTTTGGGCAAAAAAAAGTGTGTCTTTACAAAACAGATATATGTTATTGGGGGTAAGAATTATTTTGGCTTTGATCCCAAACATTGCAAGCCAACAGTCCTTCTTTTCTTGCCAGGTCAGCTATGCTTTTGGCTCCCATGTTCTGAATGACAAGAGGCAGTTCCCCTTTTTCTATCGGACGGTCCCCAAAGAAGACGCCATATACCCAGCGGTTGTCAAGCTGCTCCATCACTTCAGATGGACGTTCATTGGTCTCATTGCTCCAGACACTGAAAATGGAGAGATGTTCATGAAGACATTGCATCCCCTGCTATTAGAGAGTGGAATTTGTGTTGCCATCTCACTAATCATTCCACAACTGAATAGATTAAATTTGACAGTCAAAGTTCCTCAATTAGAAAAGTGGGGACAAGTCCATGTATTTCTTTATTATGTAGAATCTATTTATTTCTGGATGGGAATAAAAGTCACTGAAATGATATTTGACAAGGTGGTCAAACCCACTGCAGGGAAAGTCTTGATCACAACATCTATGTGGGATTTGAGTGTGGACTTAACTGAGTTAATCAACAGTGGTTTAGATTTCAAACATTTCCACAGTATTCTTTCTTTCTCTATTGGGGCAAAGAAATGGGCAAAATATGATTATATGGATGCCTTCTTCTTTGCAATCAAGCAGTTTTGGGAGGAAGCTTTTACTTGTTCCTATTCACAGAATACATTGTCAGTGAAAAGCTGGACAAGATGCAGAGAAAGGGAGGAACTGGAGATGCTGCCCCAAGAATATCTGGAAAGACTCTTATCTCTAAACAGCTACAGGATTTACAACACTGTCCAAGCTGTGGCCCGTTCCTTAAATGCTGCATATTCCTCCAGATCTAAGTGGAGGTTGAAGGACAATCTGGAATTTCAAAGGCTACAGCCATGGCAGGTATTTCCTTTCTTATCAATGACATCTCTGCCAAACATGACAATCAGCTCCTGAATGGTTGCCTTGGAGATTGTCTGAGAACTTGGGGGATGTATTGGGGAGGGGAAGTTTTGAAAACCCCTTTGTGAAGTGCCCTGAATTGGATCCTTTCTATCCCCCATCAGATTATAGTCTCTCTGGTATCAGTTCCTACCACTGGCCTAATCTCTTCTTTGCCTTGCAGTGGCCCATTCGACCCCCAGCCCCTCCATGAGTATTCTCTTGGGCAGGGAAGATGGCATTGCACAGGCTCTCTCTCCCATAGCCTTCTTCCCTCCTGTTTATTGTGATATTTCAGCACCAACTGAGCTCCACTAAGCTCTATCCTTTGTCCAAAGATTGTGTGTGTTGATGGAGCCTGTATTAAGTTCCTGAGCAACTCATGTTCTCATTAGGATAGAGTTTAATACATGTGTACATTTGTCATATTTCTGGCTTATTTATATTCTGATTCCATTAATATGCAGAGGCAGGAAGTTTATTCAAGAAAACGGCATACAACTCAGCAACACCTCCCAATCAGTCTGGCCCCTATAGGGCAGTTGCCAGAACTGAAGGGACCTGCCTTCTGCCCTTTCTAAGGCACCTCTGGTCTCTGTTCCAACCTCTTCATTCTCCTGCATGTTCTTGGTGATCAGGGAGGAGGGGAGCCTGTCTCAGCAGGAGAGAAAGAGTCCTTGGATTCTCCAGCAGCCTCTTGACCCCTCTCCTGTGCTCCCCGTCACTGACTCTCCCTGCTCACTAAACCCTGTTGCCCCTTCAGCATCCAGCCCCTCATTGCAATCTTCTTCCTCTGAGCTCTCCTCAGTCTCCCACCACCAATCCCCTGGCTCTGAGCCTTCTTCCCTTGGGGGTTCCCTGGCTAGTGCTTCCCATAGTTCCTCAGACTGCCCAACCAATCCTTGACACTCTGCTGCCAATCCCAAATGAGAGCAGATCCAAGCATGAAATGTGCAGAGTTGAATAGTCAGTGTTGTTTCCCCTATTCTATATGCAGCCCTTTTCTCTGCCATTCTAGCTCCACTCTTTCCTGGGAGATGCCCAGTTTTACAATTCTTCAATGGACGGAGTGTATTTGGATGAGAACGGGGACCTGGCAGCTGACTTGGACATTGTGAACTGGATGGTGTTTCCAAATCAGACCCTTCTTAGAGAGATCAGTGGGAGCATCAATAGGCAGAAATCCCTAGACCTAAAGTGCTCCATCGACCAGAATGCCACTGTGTGTCTCAAATGGCTCAACAAGGTGGGGAAAATAATTTCATTTTATTAGATTTCCCATACAATAAGTTCAAATCATGCCACCATGATTTGTGTCGCACTGCCTTCAAATGCCTCCTGCATTCCTTGAAAACAGTGGGTCCCTGTGAAACTCTGTATATGCATGAATCAGCTGTTATGGGAGTGAAATTTCAAGGTGGTTGCTTATTTTAGTAACTTAATTAGGTAGCCAAGGGTTTCCCCAATTCCCTGTCATATTTAAATCATAAAAAATCTAAAATATGTAGGAGAGTGTGGCTTTTAGCAGCCTGAGCTGGCAATATTTCCTGAAATGCTCCTGTAAATCCATGTTCTATGCTGCAGTTTCCAGAAAAGTGTGCAATGGATTTGTTTGCCAGAAGAGATGGCCTCCTAACTTGAACCCTTCGAGGAAATTTAACCACCCCTCAACTTTTGCAGTTAGTTCCAAGCATTATTTTCTGAATATGGTTTACCTGCGCTCCTGTATGTCTGCGGCTGTAATGCTGTGGTGCTAACAGGTTTTGTGACACCTCCCTCCTGATCAAATATGTTTGTGCAAATATGTTTTTAAAAACTGAATTGTACAATGAAATATAAAGTACTGGAAAAGAGGTGATGAGCAAACCTACTGGATGGCAGACTTGAGAGCTGTGATTCTCAATCAAACCCACTTTGATACTTTGGCCAAGCCAACAGAAGATTCCATTTGGATCACTATGAACCTCAAATGAAAAACGTTTAGCTACCTCTGATGTATACAGTGATCATGACACTGTATCAAGTCCAAGAGGGGAGGCCTATGCTTTGAGGATTTTACAAACCAAACTGAAACACAGCTGAGCAACAAGGGAAGGGAAGTAGAAGAATCTTGGGTTTTGGTCAAATAAGGAAACATTCTCATGAGAGGTTTTGCTGCAATAAAGCAGTATATAAATTTGGTCAAAGATAATTAATTAATACATTGCTATCATCCTTAACAGATCAGCCTTAACACATTTTCCTTGATGCCCCTTTATGCTTAGCCCCTGCCTACTTCCAGGTGTGTGGAAAGTTGCCAGCCTGGATTCTTCAAGGTAGTTCAAGAAGGAATGCTGCTCTGCTGCTATGACTGCGTTCCCTGTGCGGAAGGAACAATGGCCACTCAGGAAGGTGGGTGACACCAGAAGAAAGACCTGCCCTTGGGGAAGAGGACAAAGGACCTTTCGGGTGTCCGGGGTTTATTAAAGGGGAGTTTTAGAACTGATGCACTGCTACAACACAACTGGGCATTTTCCCCATTGGGTGTTCATACATGCTATATTGACACATCCAATGACAAGTGGAAGCCTACACAAAGTGGGAGAAAATCCTGAGATGTGGGAATTTGACAGTAGTGTTAGTCAAACTTGGCACAAGAGCACCATGGACTCTGGGATGGTTATCAGGCACAAATGTTTAATACAGTTGAGTCCAACAATGTCCCTTTTGTGTGTCATATTAGAAGCTTTTGACCTCAGGACCCTTATCCTAACATTGACACCTTCAGGAAAGGGGTCACCATGGCTTAGAATTATTTATTCCTGTCACAAATATTATTGAGGGCCTCCTGCATTGTGATTCCCTTAGTATGTGGAATCCTCTCCCCAGTGTTTTCACCACCAATTGAAGATTCTCCCTGGTTATATGCAATGATTTTTATTGAATATAGTTATGTTTTCTTTTAGTGGAGACCACTTTGGTATTACTTTTTGTTAATGAAAAGCAGTACAGAAAGCCATAAAGTTGATATTCCTTGTGTTCATTCCAGATGCAGAGCATTGCACCAGGTGTCCAGAATATCAGCATCCAAACAAGGCCAGAGATCAATGTTTCTACAAAATCATCACCTTCCTGGCTTATAAAGAACCTATGGGGATCTTCCTAGCTTCCTTTGCCCTATTCTTATCCTTAACTACATGTGTTGTGCTAGGAATATTCATTATATTCCGAGAAACTCCCATAGTCAAAGCCAACAACCGGAACCTCTCCTATATCCTCCTCATCTCCCTCCTGCTTTCCTTTCTGTCCTCCTTCCTCTTCATTGGAAGGCCAAGGAAAGCCACCTGCCTTCTCCAACAAGTGGCCTTCAGCACCATCTTCTCAGTTGCCATCTCTTCTTTGTTGGCAAAAACCATCACTGTCGTGCTGGCCTTCCTGGCCACAAAGCCAGGAAACAGGGTGAAGAGATGGCTGGGGAAGAGTCTGGCCAACTCCATTGTCATTTCCTGTTCCATTGTCCAAGTTGTCATCTGCATCATCTGGCTGGGAATCTCTCCACCCTTCCCAGAGTCTGACATGCATTCCCAGCCCAGAGAGATCATCCTACAATGCAATGAAGGGTCTATTGCCATGTTTTATGCTGCCCTTGGCTACATGGGCTTCTTGTCTACCATCTGCTTCACAGTGGCTTTCCTAGCTAGGAAGCTGCCTGGGGCCTTCAATGAAGCCAAGCTGATCACCTTCAGCATGCTGGTCTTCTGCAGTGTTTGGGTCTCCTTTGTGCCCTCCTATCTGAGCACCAAGGGGAAATACATGGTGGCTGTGCAGATCTTCTCTATCTTGGCTTCCAGTGCTGGGCTTCTGGGCTGCATCTTCTTTCCCAAGTGCTATATAATTGTACTCAGGCCTGATCTGAACACAAAGGAGCATCTGACAAGAAAAGCTGGTTCTTAAATTACTCATTTTTGACAACTGTTTTCCAGCACAGCTATGATGAAAAAGACATACTTGCCTTGCAAATGTAGCTTTAGATTTAAAGGCATGTTTATGGCTCCATTTCTGATGGTTACGTTTCAAACCTTTAAGAAGCATCTAAATGTTTAAATTTTATTTTTAATTGTGCTATTTTAACTTGGAAAGCTGAATGTCTCTTAAAATTCAGGTTCTTTGGCACTTCCTGAATTTCAAAATATTGCTTTAATAGGAAAATTGATTATGACTGCGAAAACAAATAGAGTAAAAAAGTGGAATTCAGTAGTGAAATCTTTTGTTTCAGGAACAGTTAACAGAGGGCATGGAAACATTATTTACAGATATATAGATATATAGACCACAATGGGAGGATTCTTAGGAGTGGTGAATAAACCTGGTAGGAATAATTTATTCCTTATTGCAAAGAGCCATTTAAAACTTTGAGGTATGGATTGCTCTCCATTGTAGATAGAATTAATATCTATATTTTCCTTCACAAACATTATGTTAAAAATACTGAGAAAATTGTGCCCTAATAAATCTGTTGCTCTTCAAGGTGCCTCAAGACTTAGTTCCTTTTGCGCTAGTGAGAAATATGAGAATGTTATGGATATATTGATTAAGTATTATCCTTCCTTCACTCATGCTAGTGAGTGTTGTAGGAGGGCAGATTCCCCTCAATATAGCACTCTTCAGCTGTTTCTGGGTGAGCCAACTTTTGTTAGTGTGTCAACAGATCTTTCTTCGCTGTTGATGTAATAACCAAGTCTATTGTTTCAAGGACTTTTCTTTATTCTCCTTCTGATTCCCCTTGAGCCTTTACCTGAGTTTTCTCTCCTATAATCCCAACTTCCAGGTTCTGTGGCACAATAGTCATGGCTTTTCCCCTAAGACCTTTCTTCCAAATTGGCCCAAACAGTTTCAGCTGGTAAGAAGTATAATTTACCACAACAACTGGAAAGGTCCCCAAGAACCTTTAAATATCAGATAACCTAAAATGATATATGGGAATGTGACTATCAACTGTTTATGATCTATAATTTATGTTCTTGCCCCAAGGCTTAATGGCACCCAACTAATAATGTCTGAAAAAATCTCGCACGCTCTCGCTCTCCCGCATACTACATGTTACAAAGTGAGTTATATCTCTTAGTATTACCATACTTAAATATTTAATAGATTTGTAACAAATGTGGAACTGATAGTCCTTAAATGACTGGGTAAGTAAATTTTCACCTATAGGCACCAGTTAATAGAGTATTGTGATATTTTAACAGAGACATCTATCATCTGCACAAACATGGGAATTGTAAAATGAGGTTTAGAAATAATCAGAAGAATATCATCTGCATATGAAATCAATTTTTATTCAACCGAATTACTCCATAGATATCTCAATGTTGTCTAATAGCACAAGCTAAGGTTTCCAAGCAAATGTGAAAAAGCAAGGGTGGAATTGAACAAGTATAGGATAGACGGAGATTTTGCAAACATGTTTTTCTCCAGCCTGCACCTGCGCATGAAGCCACGTAAAGAGTTCAGGACATTTAAGAGGCCATGCTTGTTCCCTTTATAATTATCAAAATCATAGAGGGGTTTTTCTTTCATCTTCTTCTCAACAAAGCTCCAGAGATCTGTCCAAAGATCACCTTGGAGTCCACTCAAGGAGATATCAGAATTGACAACAACATGAGGTTATTAATATATTTCACCAGAGACTGGTGCATAAATACCTTGTGTACCACTGAGAATTTGGGTTCCGATTTAGGAGAGGCGAGTTGCAATACAAGGTTGTAAGGCTGACCTCTATCTCTTCTAGATACCAAGTCTAGTATCTTCTAGATACCAACTCTGAGATGCCAGACCCTCCACACTTGAACTGCTAGTCACTTTGGGGCATCCCATCAACATTATTTAATTATTTTCTAGTTCAGGGGAGCAGTGACAGGAAAGGAAGGTGTTCCAAGCAGGCACAGAATGGTACTGCTTCTCCTGCTCTTCCTGCCTCATACAGACTGTGGAGTGAAGGCAAAATGCCCCTTGACTTTGGAGAGAGACTGGATGGAGCCATTCAATTATTACAGGCCAGGAGACCACATCATTAGTGGAGTCATCTCTGCCACAGGTGCTGCACTTAATCCCCAGCACTTCAATGTGTCTCCCTCTACCAGCTTTATCATGTAAGTCCATTTATGGGGATGGTGTTACTGTTGCTCCAAGCAATATTGATTTTTATTTATCATCCTTTTGGAGCTGTAGTGTATCTGTGTATTTGGTCCTTCCAGGCTGTGATGCTCATTTATTTATTTATTTATTTATTTATACATACATACATACATACATACATACACCACCCATCTGGCTGAGTTTCCTCAGCCACTCTGGGCGGCTTCCAACAAAGATTTAAAATACATTAAAACATCAGTCATTAAAACTTCCCTAAATACGGCTGCCTTCAGATGTCTTCTAAACTTCAGATAGTTGACATTTGATGGGTTTAGGGTTTAAAATTTTACTTCTTCATTTCACTTCATTTTTAATGTTTCCATTTCTTTTTTTAAACAAATCAATAATTATTATTTTTTTGAAAATAACAGGCTTTGCAGGGACGGGGGGGCGGCGGCGGGGAGAGAGTGAAAGAGAAAGAGAGAGCAATAGATTCCCCGTGTCATTTAATGAGCGTCTGAAAACCTTTTATCTCCTATTATTCTTTGGAAGTCTGTGCACGTCTAATTCCACCATGAAAAATTACTTCTGCTTTAGTTTTGTTTTCCAAGGGATAAGGGGTATTGATTAAGCAAGGCTTTCCCAACACTCATGCATTATTATTTGGGGATTGGCTGAATTTGGATCAGTGTTAGATTGATTAAAGTCTAGAAATTGAATCCAGGACTTTATATTATCCTTAGAAGCTTGTCAAAAAAAGCAAGAGTTGGAAGTGATACAAGGTACTGGCTGCCCCTGTCCTTCTTCTTTGCCATTTAAGAGATCAGCCAGGATCCCAGGCTCTTGCCCAACATCACTCTGGGCTACAATATCTATGAGAACTTTTTTCGTGCAAGGGTGACGTATGAAGCTTTGGTAGACCTGGTCTCTTCTAGACAGGCGGATGTTCCAAACTACAACTGCAGAGGACAGAATAATTTGATTGCTGTTCTTGAAGGGGCTGACTCTGACTCTGAGAACTCCATCCAGATTTCAAGCATGCTGAGCATCTATAAAATGCCACAGGTAGGAATGGAGATGGAGGGATTATCTGACTGAGCTTCTCAGGTATGAAAATTTTGGGTAGTGTCAACTCAGAATGAGGAAGACATTGGAGGTCAAGGCATTGAAGAAAGGAGATAAGGAATGGTCAGATGAATTGCTGTTCTCTTTTTGATACTACCTGTACTTCCTCCCTTTCGTTTGTATCAATTGCTGATTCCTGTGTGTATTTGTTTGCCTGTACATATAAAATGGGAAGGAAGGGAACTTCCCTCTTACTAGTGGCCATGCCACTAAAAATGGGATAAAGTCGAAAAGATTTCCCTGAGTGAAACTGTGATATTTTGTTTTTCAGTTGAAAACATTTATAACGCATTCGATAAATAAAAAACATTTTAGCATTGCACAACATAAAACTAACAAAATTGTTGAAAGATATGTACAGTATAATGCCAGTAAATTAGAAGGATAAAAGCATATTTTAAAAGATGAAAACAGGAACTGAGGGAATACATAAAAATGGGATCGAGTTTTATGTGCCAAGGAAAGTTTGGGCAAAAAAAAAGTGTGTCTTTACAAAACAGATATATGTTATTTGGGGTAAGAATTATTTTGGCTTTGATCCCAAACATTGCAAGCCAACAGTCCTTCTTTTCTTGCCAGGTCAGCTATGCTTTTGGCTCCCATGTTCTGAATGACAAGAGGCAGTTCCCCTTTTTCTATCGGACGGTCCCCAAAGAAGACGCCATATACCCAGCGGTTGTCAAGCTGCTCCATCACTTCAGATGGACGTTCATTGGTCTCATTGCTCCAGACACTGAAAATGGAGAGATGTTCATGAAGACATTGCATCCCCTGCTATTAGAGAGTGGAATTTGTGTTGCCATCTCACTAATCATTCCACAACTGAATAGATTAAATTTGACAGTCAAAGTTCCTCAATTAGAAAAGTGGGGACAAGTCCATGTATTTCTTTATTATGTAGAATCTATTTATTTCTGGATGGGAATAAAAGTCACTGAAATGATATTTGACAAGGTGGTCAAACCCACTGCAGGGAAAGTCTTGATCACAACATCTATGTGGGATTTGAGTGTGGACTTAACTGAGTTAATCAACAGTGGTTTAGATTTCAAACATTTCCACAGTATTCTTTCTTTCTCTATTGGGGCAAAGAAATGGGCAAAATATGATTATATGGATGCCTTCTTCTTTGCAATCAAGCAGTTTTGGGAGGAAGCTTTTACTTGTTCCTATTCACAGAATACATTGTCAGTGAAAAGCTGGACAAGATGCAGAGAAAGGGAGGAACTGGAGATGCTGCCCCAAGACCATCTGGAAAGACTCTTATCTCTAAACAGCTACAGGATTTACAACACTGTCCAAGCTGTGGCCCGTTCCTTAAATGCTGCATATTCCTTCAGATCTAAGTGGAGGTTGAAGGACAATCTGGAATTTCAAAGGCTACAGCCATGGCAGGTATTTCCTTTCTTATCAATGACATCTCTGCCAAACATGACAATCAGCTCCTGAATGGTTGCCTTGGAGATTGTCTGAGAACTTGGGGGATGTATTGGGGAGGGGAAGTTTTGAAAACCCCTTTGTGAAGTGCCCTGAATTGGATCCTTTCTATCCCCCATCAGATTATAGTCTCTCTGGTATCAGTTCCTACCCCTGGCCTAATCTCTTCTTTGCCTTGCAGTGGCCCATTCGACCCCCAGCCCCTCCATGAGTATTCTCTTGGGCAGGGAAGATGGCATTGCACAGGCTCTCTC